GAAGCCAGCCGGCCAGCCAGCTCACCTTTTGTTCCTTTCACAATTCTGGTCAATCTGCATCTTTGGCTACCCAGGAGAAGCTGTCTGTGGACAGTTTTTGAGCATAGACAAATGCTAACAATGGTAAGTTGAAGCCAACTTATGAAATCAATTATGCTGTCTTTCAAAAATTATTCTATCCTCTAAAATAGTTGTATTGCTTTTAGAGACCACTGCGTAGTTCATGTCATAAAAATGTCAGTTTCAGTGATGACTGGGGTAGGTGGCAATAACTCGCTATTGTAGACGATGGAGTCGCGCCCATGAGCCCGGTCGCCCTCGTCGCTACCGCTGCTGCCACCTCTACCCGCACATGCGGCGTCCACCTGCCTTCTTCCCTATATTCATCTCCTGAAGCTGGGGACAGCCTCATCAGTACGATTTTCATCTTGATAGCAATATGTCTCTGAGACATGACAAATAAACATAACGTTCCACAGTTAGACTTCAGCTATCTTACAGCTGTCTGAAATCATCAAGGAACTCAAATAGCACAAGAAGTCCTCAGTTTCTGAATTATTTCTGACATAACAAGGATAGGACAGTAAGACACTAAGATTTATCTTAAAATGCATTAACCTACAGAAGCTTTACAGAATATTGAAACAGGAAAAATAAAGCCAGCACCATGAACCCTCTGGCAGGATGAATGAAACATCACACCAATACTGTATTGATCACCTAGTAGGTAGGTAGCTCTGAACTTCTGCTGACAAAGTATAGAGCTTCATTAAAATCAAAATGACAATTCAACCTCAAAGACATAAAAGAGAGCAGAAAAATATTCAATATGTACACAAATCTCATAGTAAATCAATATGAGTTATATATTGACCAAAATGTTGCCTGTAGGTATAATGTGTCAGCCCAGTTGGCTATGAAAAAAAATTTGTTTTGGAAACAAACAAAAAAGAAATGAATAATTTTGGACATGTAAGAATCAGGTAAAAATATCAAGGGTATACGATCCTTTAATCAAGATAAACCAATGCCTTGAGGAATCTTTATGTTCATTTCTGCTCATGCTGCGGCTGGATGAGAAGACAGATGATAGGGTGCAATGTGTAAGATTTATGGGTGACACTGACACTGAGGGAGGCAGTCACCCTTGGTGGAGAGGCCTCACCTACTGCAGGCAATTACTAGCAACGCGCAGAGCCCGAGAAACCCTGTCTAGGTGGGGAGCAGCGTTGCATTTTCCCACTAGCTTTCCAAGACTCACATGACTGAGTTATGAATACATTTTCTAAACTGTATTTATATTTTAGGGTCCTCACTTGAAATTCTCTACCCTTGTGGAATTATGTTGGAAGACAACAATCTCCATTAACTTTTAAACTCTTGGTGAGAGTTCTGGCCAGCTTTAAGGTTTGCAGAACCACACGTGTGCTGCTGCTCCCAAGCGCCAGGCATTTTTATGCCTTGTCTTTGGACTTCAAAGCAACCCTACAGATAATAATAAAGCACTATCTGCATTTTCCAGACAAAGTTGCTCAAGTCTTTAGAGAAATTTGTTCCATTCTCTCATCTTAATCATTTAGTAAGGAAAAAGGTGTTGAACTCAAGTATTCCTGTATTCAGAAACCTGACCTTTCAAATCTACTTTCAAGTGCGTGCTATTTGATGACAGACTCGCTCACACTTCAGAGCCTGATTTCAGGAAATGGTTCACAGGAGCTGCACCCCAAGGCTTCCAAATAAGGCCCTGGCACAAGTCCCAGCAGTGTGGATCCTAAGAATTTCTTCCTGTAGTCACTGAGGCCAAGGGACATGTGCAAGTTCATGCATCAAGGAAACGGAAAGGTTGGAGCTGGGATTCTAAAGCTTAATGGAATAAAATTTAGCACCAGGAATGCCCTGAAAATAAAATAAAAATTTTAATTCCATACTATTAAGGTAAGTTATGAAATACATTTTGTGAATAAAACTTTATGCTTTCATGCTAATAATCTATTATGATTATTTATCTGAATATGTAATTACAAGCCTTTACACAGATGCATTTTGAAATCAGCTGCACAGCAGAATATATAACAGAAAAACATATGCGGGAACTTGGATCAAAAACATACAAAATAAATTTCACACTGAGTTCTAAAAGTGGGCATTGAACCCAATTTCTGGAATGAACCAGACTATGCAGAAAACAAACAGCAGGAACAGTTATTTTAGCAAGAAAAGTAGGATAAATTTACCAAGCCAATCATGGCATGATGTGCGCAGATAAAAGATGCAGAGAGGGAATGTGCAGCGCTGATCCACGGCCGCATTGGAATTCAAGAAAGCAGGAACCCGGAAAGCGCAATTGTCCTAAATGTGAATAAACATTCAAATTATGCTGCAGCTGCAAAATTTAAACTCAAGGAAGAGACATTTGCAAAGAAATTTATTAAATTGATGCGATTTTCCTGGTTTAACATGCCTGGTGGCTCTTTTTAAAGTAAAATGTACAATTTATCTTGATAAAAATGACACTTCCCACATTGGATTCAATCAAACACCAAGAAGTCTTTTGTAAAAAGCTCTGCTTAGGGCACAATACTGTTGGTACTTACATGCTAAGGATTTCAATAGATATAGTTCACCCACCTAATAAATGTGTTGCATATCAAGTGTGGTTTTAGAAGGGCTTGCTTTGTGGAGAAAATCATTTTTTTCTTTTATTACACTTTAAAGAAGTTTCTTTGTAAGGTGTTAAATTCCTTGCTGAATTCATCTATCCATCCATCTACCCACCTATCCACCCACCCACCCACCCA